ATTTATTGTTTGTGTGTAGGAAGGCTTTTTTGCATGTTGATTTTGTATCCTGCCATTTTACTGAACTGATTGATTAGTTGAATTAGTTTTTCTGTGGAGTTTTTGGGGTTCTCTATGTACATTATCATATCATCTGCAAATAGTGATAGTTTGACTTCTTCTTTTCCTATTTGGATTCCTTGTATGTCTTTCTCTAGTCTTATTGCTCTGGCTAGGACTTCCAGTATTATATTGAAAAGCAGTGGTTAGAGTGGACATCCTTGTCTTATTCCAGATCTTAATGGGAATACTTTCAGCTTTTCGCCATTGAGAATGATACTGGGTATTGGCTTGTCATATATAGCCTTTACTATATTGAGATATGTTCCTTGTATCCCAAGAATTTCAAGGGCTTTTATCATGAATGGGTGTTGCACTTTGTCGAAAGTTTTCTCAGCATCCATTGATATTGTCATATGGTTTTTATATGTCTTTCTGTTGATGTGTTGGATAACGTTGATTGATTTTCAGATGTTGAACCATCCTTGTGTCCCTGGAATGAATCCTACTTGGTCGTGGTGAATTATCTTATGGATACATTGTTGGATTCTGATAGCTAAAATTTTATTGAGGATTTCTGCATCAGTGTTCATTAAGGAGATTGGCCTGTAGTTTTCTTTTTTTGTGTTGTCCTTGTTCGGCTTTGGTATTAGTGTAATGTTGGCTTCATAGAACGTGTTTGGTATTATCTCTTCCTTCTCAATTTTTTGGAAGAGTTTGTGAAGGATAGGCACTAATTTATTTCTGAACGTTTGGTAGAATTCATTTGTAAATCCATCAGGTTCTGGGGTTTGTTTTTGGGAAGGTTTTTGATTACCATTTCAATTTCACTGCTTGTAATTGGTCTGTTTAGGTGTTCTATTTCTTCTTTATCTAGCTTTGGGTGATTGTAGAGTTGTAGAAATTTGTTCATCTCCTCTAGATTATTGAACTTGTTTCCATATAACTGTTCATACTAGTTACTGATTATTCTTTTGATTTCTGCTGTGTCCATTGTGATTTCTCCTCTTTTATTTATGATCCTGTTTATTTGTGCTTTCTCCCTTTTTCCCTTTGTGAGCCTGGCTAGGGGCTTATCTATTTTATTTATTTTTTCAAAGAACCAGCTTACAAGAGAGTTTTTAAACCAACTTTAAGTCTCAAAAGATGGCTTTGCAGTTTCCTTTCAATGATAGTTCCTTTCTTTCTTAATAGGCAGGCTATTCTGGTATTTTCATTTCCCTTCCTCAAAAAAGGAGCTTAGTTAGCATTTATTCTGTGATTTTTGCCCTTACCAGTGTTTGCTGGAGTTTTCTCTGTGTGACTAAGTCATACAAAAGGCACTGCCAACCAGTTATAAGTGACAGAGTGTATGGTGGGTGTGTTCTCCAAAGTTTGTATCTGTAATGTTCAGCAAAATAAGTCAGAAGGAAAAAGACAAATGCTGGATGGTCTTACTTATAGCTGGAAAATAGAGAAACATAACTGAAGGTCAGTCAAAACCAACCAATAATGAACTCTTAATGTCAGATCTGGAGGGTGATGGGGTGAAGCCGGAGAGGGAATGAGTCCATGGGAGATAGTGGTGGATCACTGGAGTACCAGTGTGTGAAGATATGCCTTTGTGGGGATTTGAGCCTATCACTTCCAAAGATGCAATGATATAACCAACTTACTTCAATAAACATCATTTAATAGAAAAATAAGTCTATATATATAAAACACATTGAAGCCCAAATAAGAGAAAACATGCAGAAAAATATCTATTTGCTCTAGATGCACTTGAGTCATTTTGTCTGAATTAAGTAATTCTTGAGATGGGGGCAGCTATCCATGTAGAGATCATGGCAATCAAGAGCAATGTCAAATCACTAGAGTCAGAGAAATGTTACTCAATTTTATTATATGTGCTGCCGAAGCGAGCACAGAAATGTTATTCAAAATAAAATGTGTTTGTGTGTGTGTATGTGTTTGTATGGAAGTAGTTAATATCAATAACATACAACCCTGGATCCAAAACCCTGGATTTGGCCCATGGACCAAATCAGATATGTAGTCCGTTACTGGAAGGTTTTGTTGGAATGCACATATCTATTCATTCACATGTCCAGTGCAATTTCTGTGCTACAGTGACAGAGTTGAGCAACCGTGACAGAGTCCATAGGTCTTACAAAGCCCAAACTAATACTATCTGGCTCTAAGAAAAAGTATTCCCACCCCTACCCAGCTGTATTTGCATGGTATTTTGTAAAGTTTAGGCTGATAAGCTTCAAAATGATGACATTATAAACTAAGACAAATCACGTTCTCCAGACAAGTTAATAAGGGTCTAATGTACCATTTTAATTTTAGTCTATAATCTGGCATCTCTATACCAGTGATTCTGATTCTCAGACTTCATCCTTGGATGTTTGTTTAACACAAAGATTTTTTTTTAGCTCTACACAGTTATTACCAGGACTTCTTATCATCTGTTTCGCTTTAACTACATGTCCTAAGAAAATGTCCTGATACTGAGAGAGAAGAGGAAAAATAGATTGGGTGAGATAATATAGGAACACTTGTGCTTAGATGAATAACGTCCTGCAGAATCTTCATTTCATTGAGAGAGAAGGAACCCAGGGTCTCCCAGTGTGGCCTGTAATTAATCAACAGTAATGCTCAAAAGTTCAATTAATAACCTAGAAAGGAAGCTATTAAATTTGTAGCTAGCATAGAGTTGAATACATAAGAAGGCAGATGACAGAATCAGAATTTAAAATTATTTGGTACCTGATATTTTGGTACCTGGAAAAATAGACTGAAACTTACAAGAACTCCAATGGAGATAAGAAAAGGTCTGCATTTGGACATCAAAAAAAAAAAAAAGCATCAATTACAAAACTATAATGAAACACTCTTTTTTCTTTTTTTTAAAGATTTATTTACTCATACATACAAGAGCTGGGGTACAGGCCAGAGACACGGGGATGGGGAAGCGGGGTAAGAGGATTCACCAGAGACAGAGTGGGGAACAGAACAGGCAGACTGACTGAAATACACTGCTGAGGGGAGCGGTGGGCAAACCAGGAGAGGTCTGCTACGCCATGTGTGTCACTCCCTGGCCGGCCAGGGATCGAACTCATGCTGCAGAGGCTGTGGATTGCCTTATAGTGCAGTGCTTAACCCCCTGTACCGCCAGGGAGGCCCTATAATGAAACGCTCTTCAAACAAATACAGATAGAAAAAAATGTTGATCTCCCTTTACGAAGCATGTTGAATGTTTTCTCTAGGCCAGTCACTGTGTTAGACAACAGGTACCTAGAATCAGATGGTAAGTATGGACAGACTAATGCAACCTCTGATCTCATGAGGCTTATAATCAGCTTGGGAGAAGGATATCAGGTAAGTTATTAGAAATGGTATGAATCTAAAAATACAGAGTTCTGGAAGAACACAGCAGGAGAATCTAGTATTTCTTGGTTGTAAATGTGTACAAATATTTGTGTGTGAGTGTGTTTGTGTGAGTGTGTGTGATAAAGACCTCTTTATCAGAGAGGTCATTTCTTCATTAATTCACTCATAAACAGTTACTGGACATCTACTTTGTGCAGGAAAAAAATGCTAGGCACTGACTGACAGTGTTAATCAAAGTTGGTATAGTCATAAATGATTTTATAATTTACTGGTGAAAAGAGAAATATATATACATATAAACATTAAAATTTGTGCTAAAAAGGGAAAGATCAGTGGACAATGAGCAGAAGGAAGATTGGAAGAAGATGTCTTTTGAAAGCTGGTTGGTGCAAACAGAGACTTAAACTATGGGTTCCTGAGGCTAAATGTTTCCTTAAAAATCTTTGACTACAGCACAGCAAAGTTAATCAAAATCATCTTATACTTTGCAATCAATAATTTGTCCTTTAAATACTTCAAATACAATAATTTGTCCTTTAAATACTTAGTAAGAATAAGTAAGACAAAGTACTTAGTCTTAGTAAGACTAAGTATTTAGTAAGACTAAGTATTTAAGACTAAGTAGTTAAATACTTAGTAAAACTTAGTAAAACTTAGTAAAACTAAAAATACTTAGTAAAACTAAGTATTTAAAAGGGGTGGTGGTTTGGGAAGGCATTGAAATCTCTTCAAGTGAAATAAAACAAGCATCAAAGTATGAGTAGCATCTTTTTTTTACTAAAAGGAAAACGTTACCACATATATAAGACTTCTGCTTTTCACCTGTCATTCTACATGTTGATTTAAATGAGTATTAAATGAGTATTAAATGAAATTTGTTAGATGAGCATTTCAAAAATATACAAGAACAGGACTCAGTTTTAGAGTATTCCTGGTAGGGGGATATAAAGATGTAGGGAATTGTTAATTTTTATTTTCATATAAACTCTTCATAAACTTGTTGCTCTTTCAGTGAGTGAGACAACCTGAAGCCAGTCTGAGAAATGATGACCAGTGTATTGAGGATAAGAGGAAGATTCTTCAATGGAGGAAAGATCCTAGAGGCAGTATATTTGCACTGTGCCCAGCACTCATGGGACTTGGGGTTGTGTTGGAGCCAGAAGGTTGTTTTAGAACCAATGGGTGTAAGTGACAAGGAGTGGATTTTAGTTCATAAAAACTGAATTTCAAACAATTCACAGCTGTTCCTTTATAGTGGAGGTTTTGTGATATAACGACACCTTATTAGGAAAATTATAACAATGTTGGAAACACTGAAAAAGAAAGTAGTGTAGTGGCTGGGAGGGAAAGAAATGTATGGGTCACCTAGTCTGTACTAGATTTTGTTTTCTGCCCATTATGTATTTTATCTGAGAAAGAGAAATTTAAAACTAGCCATGGTGTTCTCACAGAAAGCCAACATCAGCCCTGTCACTCTGACCACAAAGAGGTGAAGGGGGAAAAAGACCACTTAATAAACATGGATAAGCAAACTTAAAATTGTGAGCTCAATCTAAAAATCACATGGAAAAGCATGTCTCCTCGCTAATGAGTGACCGCTGCTTCTTTATCAAACACAGGCTTAGTCTTTCTTCTAGATATCATTCATTAAGACACTCAAGTTCTAGTAGCAGACAGGATCCAACCCAGAAAAAGTCCAGCTTCATTTCACTATAACACAAATCTTCTCATAGGAACCCCCACCCCCAACCCCAGAAAAGGTAGCTCCTACTGGAGAGGCTTCTCAAGTGAAGAACAATGTGGGACCGCATCATGCACAAGACTGGGGAAAGAAATTGGTTGAAGAGATGGCATAGTATGAAGTTTTCCTGGGCTCGAATAGAAGTCACAGAGGCGGTGTGGAGAGGGGGCGGGGTAGCTTGTGCTGGGGAAGGCCCTCTGAGCCTTCCTGCAGAAGGCAAACTGGCCTCTCTCCAGTGCCCTCCTGGGAGCCCAGCCGAAGTCTCACTTGTCTCTGGGGCTGGGGTCACTCCCATACCTTCAAGTCCTGAAGCAGTCAGGATGACTCTGGGGACTTTTCCTATGAGGATTGGACTTGCTGAGAGAGAGGAAAGGTGTCTGGATCCAGTCTCAGTCTAAGCATATATCTGAGGCAGGAAAGAGAGCTCTTCAAGCTCCGTGACTGGTAGGTGACAGGCGCACGCCAGCTGGAGAAATTGGGGGCTGAGAGGTGGGCCCATGATAAGAGATCTGAAAAAGACAATATTTTGAGATCCATATTGGTTTAGTGGGAAGATGAGTTAAATAGCTAGGATTTGAGTGTTCAGTTTTCAGAATCATAAAGTAGCAGAGTTAGAGGGGACTTTAAAAGCCATCAAGTTTACTATCCTCCCAAGTCAACACTTAAATCTACTCTACAACCAGAGATTGGCTAGTGCCTGCTTTAAAAATGTGGAGGCATGGGAATTTTTGCCCTGCCCTACCTGGGCAGCGGTGAAGGTCTCTGAGAAATTCGTTCATGCCGAGGCAGCTGTGACAAGGCTAGAGACTTGTGTTTCAGCAGCAGCTGTGTTTGAAAAATTGGGTGGCCAGGGAGGGTCACACAGGCTCTCACTAGGAACCTGAAGACACTTGGCAATGTGGAAATTTAAGATGGAGACGTCTTCAGAGTATTGCTGAAACTCTTCCTTGTTCTAAGACCTTACTTGATCTACAAATATAGTTGCTTCAGAAAAGCTGATTTGCAGAAAGACAAAATATGGGCTCCTACAGCCAAAAGATGATCAAAATTATGTTCTGAAGGTCATATTTCTGGGTGGGTAAAAGTACTATGGAGTCTTTCACATGGTTAGAGGATGAGAGGCAAAACTATTGGAGAGCCTTTCATTTAGATATATGGAGCTTGAGCTACTGAGAGAACAGGGTGTGTTCAGGTACAATTGAAAAAAATAGTTTACATTCAGGCCACAGAGATAAGTGTCCTCAAGACACATTCACTGTGTTACTGGTTTGCTCATGGTTCCAGGCATTGGTAGGGGATGTACAATGATTAAGGAGGTGTTGCATGTACCCTCAAAGAGCCTGCCAACTTCCAGGAAAGACAGACTCATTACAAAGGCAGCACAGCTGTTATGTGGAGACTGCAAATGTGCAGGGCATAGACCAAGGAAAAGGTCACTTTTTCTGGGGGTGTCAGGGAAGACTTCCCTAAAGAGTTAACGTTTGAACAAATTTTGAAGGACAAGAAGCAGCTGTCCAAAGGAGGAAAGAGGATAAGAGGCAAAGCAGATGCAAAGCGAGGAGAGGCAGGTGGCAGAATTGTGATCCAGCAAAGATATGTTTCCACACAACTGTGTCCTGCAATTGCAGAGGTGAGTGCACAGCCCCATTTCAGCAGAGGAGATCCACAAAGAGAATCTTCAATGCTAACTGCTTTAAATCAACTTAGTCTTTAAAAATGCCATACCTAAATATTTATTTTAAAAGCAAGACACATGGGTTTGGAGACAATGTTTGTGTTTGGATGAGTGGTGTGAGTTGGAGGGAAGGTTTTGGGGGCTGCACTAATTATCAAATAAGTTGTTAAAATAATTTGTTTGATTAAATAGATTTTATTGAATGTTAGGTGATATCATATGCTTAGTGTTAAGGTTACAAAAATGAACAAGAGAGAGCCACTTGGCGTGGCTAGAACTTGGACGGCCTCTTGTTGCAAACTATGGGTGGCTGACACTGGTTGTCATGCTCATGTTCTTAAAACCCTGGTTTGTGTTTCTTGCAATTTTTTTCATTTATGTTTATTTTCTATTTTGTATCCTCTTAACAATGTGCTAGAGAATAATTAGAGTATCCAATACTTGTTTTCTATGTATTCCTGGCCCCTATTTTTATAAGTGGGTTTCTGAATATGCAGGATTTATGCTTTTGGCCACTATATCATGTTTGTTTTCTGTCTTCATTCTCTTACCTCACGGTCAGACTCTTTGCTCACCTTTCTACCAGCAATCCTGCAAGGCAAGCTCACCTCTTCATTCTGAAATTGTGGTGAAAGGGGACTCCCTGGTGGTGCAAGGGGTTAAGCACAGCACTATGAAGCTATCCACAGCTTCTGCAGCATGAGTTCGATCCCAGCTGGCTAGGGAGCTACCTACATGGCTACCCACATGGCACAGCAGACCTCTCCTCTCTTGCCTGCTGCTCCCCTCAGCAGCGTATTTCAATAGATTTGCCTATTCTGCTCCCCACTCTGTCTCTGGTGAATTCTCTCACCGCCCCCCCCCACCCCCCACCTCTGTCCTGTACCTCAGATCTTGTATGTATAAATAAACAAATCTTTGAAAAAAAAAGAAATTGAGGTGAAAGTATTAAAAATCAGCAATATATTTTAAATCCATACCTGGTCATTCATTTGTCTCCTCTCCCTCGCTGGCTTCCTGCACTCATGGGACAAGGGCTCTGATCACAGGGAAAGCAGTCCCTGTTATTTACAGCACAGGGATAGGGATTCCCTGTCTACATTTTCCCTTCTGTCTGAAAATTTTGTCCTCCTCTTTTATCCAACTATTACTCTTTCAGGAAACTTCAATTCAAGGGATTCCTCCTGTGAGAAAACATTCTCAGTCACCCAGGGTCAGAACAAAGTTCTCCTGAGTGTTCCTGGTGACCTTGACAGAGGGGCAGGTCAGCCTAGCTGCTGATGTGATCTCTGGAGCCCCGAGCCTAACCTTGCGGAATCTGCATCGCTCGTGCCTGCACGTCTGTGTCCCGTAAGGTTTACAGAGGAGAACTAAGCAACAAGAAGATACTTGCCCTGGCTTTATCATCATTCACAAAATCCCCCTGTAAAACTTCACCAATGGTAAAACCATGGCTGGGGAGTGGGAAAGCATTTTTCCAGAGGGGTTACACTGTTTGGGGAGGAGGACTAGGTGTTTGGGGAAGGGAAAAAATGTTTATGGAAGGGACAGAATATTAGGAAAAGAGACAGAATATTTGAAGAGGGGGCAGAATGATTCAGGAGGGGGCCAGTCTATTGAGGGTGATCGCATGGTATAGAGATAGTTATAGTACATCTATTCAAAGTCTGATTCTGTGACATGAGGGCTACATGAAATAGAAAAGTCTCATAATCTCTCTATTCCTTAGTTTTATCATCTGTAAAACAGGTATAACAACAACACTCATTGGATTCGTGCAAATTAACTAAAATATGCGTGATGTGTGAATGCTAATAAGTTAGCTATTATTAATTTTAGAGTAGTATGAATAATAGATCAGTAATAATGAATGTGTTGCCTTTAAATAAAAATGATAAAGAGAAATGAAGTTCTGAACTGGACAGGGCAGTCACCTCAAATCTACTTTCTCTCCTTTCCCCCCACCCAGCCTCCCATGGAGAACCACAACTCCTCCAGGCTGTCTGAATTTGTGCTTCTTGGTTTCCCCAATGTGGGGCCCATCAAGGGCTGGCTTTTTCTCCTGCTGCTGCTGGCATACCTGTTCACAGTCTGTGGCAACTTGCTCATCTTCCTAGTCATAAGACTGAATGCAGCTCTACACAAACCTATGTACCACTTTATCAGTATCCTCTCCTTCCTGGAACTGTGGTATACAGCTGCAACCATCCCCAAGATGCTGGCTAATCTTCTCAGTGAGAAAAAGACCATTTCTTTCGCCGGTTGCCTCCTTCAGACCTACTTCTTCCATGCCCTAGGGGGTTCTGAATGCTACCTTCTTACTGCCATGTCCTATGACCGATACCTGGCCATCTGCCGGCCCCTCCACTACCCTGCAATTATGACCTCAACACTCTGTTTCAAGATAGCTGCTTGCTGTTGGACTACAGGCTTCCTGTGTCCCATTACTGAAGTCACTCTGGTCTCCCAGCTCCCCTTCTGTGGCAACAATAAAATTCCACACATCTTCTGTGACTTCCCACCTCTACTCGGCCTGGCCTGCAAAGACACATCCATTAATGTGTTAGTCAACTTTTCCATCAATTCCTTTATTATCCTTATCTCCTTCCTCTTTATTATGTCTTCTTATGGAAGAATTATTGTGGCTGTACTGAAGATAAAGTCAACAGCAGGGAGGAAGAAGGCCTTCTCTACTTGTGCCTCCCATCTCATTGTAGTCTTCCTCTTCTTTGGAAGCATCATCTTCATGTATATTAGGCTAAAAAAGAGCTACTCACCCACACTTGACAGAACTTTTGCTGTGGTCTACTCAGTAGTAACACCCCTGGCCAACCCCATCATCTATAGTCTTCGTAACAAGGAACTCATTAGAGGCATCAAGAGGACCATCTTGCGCAAAGAGGACAAAACGAGTCCCTCTCACCACTGACTTTCTGCCAGAGACCTTCATGTGCTTCAAAGTCCAGCTGATAAAAGTTCTGAGTGCCTCTGTCCTGACCTTGAGAACCTTCCCTTCATCATCCACAAAATGGATTTTATCTCCTCAAACATTTTGTTTTTGAATCTGTTTCTTCTATTTCCTACATCTTCATTCTTTCCATTTTTTTACTTGATCCAAATGTCAGCATTGAATGATAATTTAGTGCCTCTGTTCTTACAAAAAATGCAGTTCCTTCTGCATGTTTCCTGGTTGTTCTACTCCTACTAACTTTTTTTTAATGGACCAGACTATAACCCTTTTGTTACGCAGAACCTATAGCTAGGCAAAGAAATAGAAAATGTGTATTTTGATAGAGAGTAGGCTACCAATTAATTTTTTCAAGTATAACATACATACAGCAAGCTATACTACAGAACACAAATGTGCCACTCAATGAGTCTTTACAGATTGAACTCTTTTATATGGTGAGCTTTCAGATCATAAGAAGGTCATAGGAAGCACCTCCACAATTTTCCAATGCAGCTAGACAGTCAACTTTCCCTTCCTCTGCCTCCCTCAATTATAATCAGTAACTGAACAACTTTTAATACTGTAGATGGATTTTACGTGTTTTGGTGTTTTACATAAATTGATTCATACAGTCTATGCTCTTTTGTGTCCGATTTCTTTCTTTTTTAAAGAATAATTTGGTTGAGGTAACATTGGTTTTTAACATAATATCGCTGTCAGATGCATAGCATTTTAATTCTACATTATAAGCACTGACTATGAAAACCACCAAATGACTACTTTCTGTCCATCACCACAACAATTTCATGTCAATTAGATTCACCATTGTTGTCTTACTTAGTTGTAAGTCTTCCATTCTCCATTCTCAGTGTAGTACTCTATTCTCAGTGTAGAATTCTATTATTTGACTCTATCACCACCAAGGAACATTTCAGTGATTTCCAATTTCTGCCTATTATCACTACTATGAATATAGCTATACAAGCTATAGAGTGGGCATATGTTCTCCTTGCGACTTGGTGCATGTGTGGGAATAGACTCACTGCAACCTTGGATACTTACACATTATTGCATCAGCAGGACACATCAACACATCAGGGGAAAAAAATCCAGCTGAGTCATTACTAATTAGAGAATTTTCAAGAAAGAGGCAGGAATTTTGTTTGTTTGTTTTTCTTTTTTTTGAGATTTATTTTTATTTATTTATTTATTCATATAAGAACAAGAACAAAGGGTGTAGGGTTTTAGAAGATTCACCAGAGACAGAATGGGGAGCAGAACAGATGGATCTACAGATACACACTGCTATGGGGAGCAACGAACAACACAGGAGAGGTCTGCTGAGTCTGAGGATTAGCAACCTGGCCGGGGCTTGAACTTATGCCACAGTGGCTGGTGATAGTTTGATAGAGCTGAGATCTAGCCCCAGCCCCACCAGGGAGGCCCAGGCAGGAATTTTGATAGAAGTTTACTGACAGAGATTAAAAAGCACAAAATTTTTAGTAAATGCAATGTTAAATTAAATACATTACATGTAATAAGTAGAAATGCTTGTTAAATTTTTAATAAACAACAATAGCAAAGGCAAAGAGGCAAGAAAAGGAAATAAGGTCTTAGGGAGCATTAAGTAGTATGCCTTAAATTTCTTTCCTTCTTGATTTTCCTTTTTAAAATTCAGGTACATATACATACACACATGCAGGGAAAGTCACTTTTTATTGCAAACCTCTATGAATTTTAAGAAACACAAGAGTTCTGTGCACTACTACACATATGAAAGAGAATCATTCTATCACCTTCAAATACCTCCGGGTCATGATCCTTTGTAGTAGACCTCCACCAAACTTGTAGCCCCTGGCAGCCATTACTTCCTATGTTTGCCTTTTCTAGAATATACAAAAAGGATAGTCTGAATATTGTTGTCAATGGAATTAATGAATTTGGCATCTTTCCTTAGCATAATGCATTTGGAGCTCATCTGAATTTTTGCATGCATCATTGGTTTATTCCTTCTTAGTGCCAAGTAATATTCAATTGTATGGACTACCACACTTTCTTTATCAAATCCCTACCCAAGAAACACATGAATTACTTCCAGTTTACTATAAACATCAGCAAATATTTATAGTTATCAGGAAAAGTTGTGAAAAGTTATCAGGAAAAGCAAAGGATATGTGTGTTAGGCAGACTTTAGTGCCTTCTCCATGAGTAGAAATTTCTGGGATTTTGTCATCCTTCTCTTCCTGGAACAGAGAGGAGATACCCTAGAAAACATTCCCCTTATAAATATAAACGTCTCCTATAATAACCTCATTTTCAGAATGTCTCCTAAGTCTGCTCTTTCTTAAAAATAATCAGCCTTAAAATAGTCCTTATGCTAAAGAAGCATATTTTGGGGTAGAAAATTCTGATCCTTTAAGTTGTCAGGCAGTAAAAAATTTCAAAGGGTAGTTTAGCATAGAAGCAGTTAGGCTGTCCAGGTGAAATAAACAAGCTTCATTTTTACTAAAAGGAAACATCACCACAATATAAAAGACTTCTGCTTCTCACCTGACACTCTGTTTGTTGATATTTAACATGAGTATTAAATGAAATTTGTTAATTAGATGAGCATCTCTAAACGATGAATGAGGTGTTACCTTGCTAGAGTTCCAGGATAGACATATGCAAAAACAGGACTTTGTTTTAGAGTATTCCTGGTAGGGGGGACTATGATATAAAAACTTAGGGAACTTTACTGATTTCTGTTTTGACATAAACTCTTCATTGCCTTGCTGTTCTTTCAGGGAGTGAGACAAACTGAAGCCAGTCTGAGAAGGGTTGGTCAGTGAATTGAGTGTAAGAGGAAGGTTCTTCAATGGAAAGAGCCTCGAGGCACTGTGCCCTGAAATCATGGGACTTGGTGTTGCGTTAGATCCAGAAGGTTGTTTTAGAACCAAGTGGTGGAAGTGAGAAAAAGTGGATTTTAATTCATGAAAACTGAATTTCAAATAATTCACAGTTGAACATAATTGTGGAGGCTTTGTAATGTAATAACTCCTCAATAAGAAAATTATAACAGTGTTGGAAACAGTGAAAGGAAAGTGGTATAGTGACTGGTAGGGAAATAAAAATACATGGGTGAGCTAGTATGTACAGACTTTGTTTTCTGTCCATTAACTTTTTTATCTGAGACAGAGACATTCAAAGCTAGCCACGGAGTCCTCACAGAAAGCCCACAACAGACCTGGTCATTATGACCAGGTATAAGCAATCATGTATAAGCAAACCTGAAAGTGAGCTCAATCTCACATGGAAAATCATGTCTCCTAGCTAATGAGTGACTGCTGCTTCTTTATCAAACACAGGCTTAGTCTTCCTTCTGAATATGACTCATTAAAACACTCAATCGTAGATTGATTTCTAGTAACAGACAGGATCCAACCCAGAACAAGCCCAGCTGCATTTCACTCTCACCCAAATCTCACAGGAGCCCCCACCCCTGCACCCACACCTAGAACAGGCAGATCCTACTGGGGAGGCTTCTCAAGAGAAGAGCAGTGTGGTACTGGATCAGGCACAACACTGTGGAAATAATTGGATCAGGCACAACACTGTGGAAATAAATGGTGGAATATAAGTCTTCCTGGGCTAGAGCTAAGACATGTAACTATCAGAGAGCTTGTGTTTATGGGAGTCATGATGGGTGAGCGGGGTCAACTCTCAGAGCCAGAGACCAAGAGTCTGTTTAGAAGTCATAGAGGTGGTGTGGAGGATGGGAGGGAGAGGTAGCAAGCCATGAGCAAGACCCCTCTGAGCCCTTCTGTAGAAGGGAGACTGGCCTCTCTCCAGTGCCCTCCTGGGAGCCCAGCCAGAGTCATGCCTGCCTTTGTGGCTGGGGTCACTCCCATGCCTATGGCCGTCATGGCCTGAAGCACTCAAGGTGACTCTGGGGACTCCTCCCATGGGGATGGGGCTTGATGAGGAGAAGGAGAGGCGCCTGGACCCTGTCTCAGTCTAAACATATATCTGAGGCAGGAAAGAGAACCCTTCATGCTCCGTGACTGGTAGGTGATGGGGCACGCCAGCTGGAACAATTGGGGGTTGAGAGGTGGGGCCCATAATAAGAGATCTGAAAGAGACAATATTTTGAGATCCATGTTGGTTCAGTGGGAAGATGACTTAAATAGCTAGGATTTAGAATGTTCAGTTTTCAGAATCATAAAGTAGCAGATTTAGAGGGGACTTTAAAAGACTTCATGACTACTGTCCTCCCTAGCCAACACTTAAATCTATTCTACAACCAGAGATTGGCTAGTGCCTGCTTAAAATATGCCGAAACATGGGAAGTTTTATCCTGCCCTGCGTGGGCGGAGGTGGAGGTTTCTGAGAAAGTCATTCTTTTGCCTTGTCACAGGCTGTCACTAGGAGGCTGAAGACACTTGGTGATGTGGAAATTTAAGCTGGAGAGGACTTTAGAGTATTCCTGAAACTCTTCCTTGTCCCAAGTCCTTACTTGACCTGCAAATATAGTTGCTTCAGAAAAGCTAATTTGTAGAAAGTCAAAATATTAAGTATGGGCACCTACTGCAAAAGATTATGTCCTGAAGGTCACTTTTCTGGGTGGGTGAAGGTATTGCAGGTTCTTTAACAGGTTTAGGGGGTGAGGGCACAACTGTTGGAGAGGATTTCATTTAGATATATGGAACTTGAGTTCTTGAGAGGACAGGGGGTGCTCAGGTGCAATTGAAAAATATAACTTAAATTCAGACCACAAAAATTTAAGTATCCTCAGGACACATCCATTGTGTTACTGGTATGCTCATTGTTCCAGGCATTGGTAGGGGGGTATACAATGATTAGTGAAGCTTGCATGTACCCTCAAAGAGCTTACCAACTTCCAGGAAAGACAGACTCATTACTAAGCCAGCACAGCTGCTAAGTGTAAACTGCAAATGTCATCAGGACATAGAGCAAGAATAAGGTTACTTTTTCTGGGGTGTTGGAAAGACTTCCCGAAGAGTTAATGCTTCACCAAATTTTGAAGGACAAGAAGCAGTTGGCCAAAGGAGGAAAGAGGACAAGGGGCAAAGCAGATGCAAAGTGAGGAGAGGCAGGTGGCAGAATCGTAATCCAGCAAAGATTTATAGCCACACAATTGTGTCCTGTAATTGCAGAGGAGTTCCACAAAAAATAACCTTCAACTCTAACTGCATTAAATCCATTTAGTCTTTAAAAATACCATACCCAGGTATTTGTTCTCACAGCAAGGAAGATGGATTGGGAGCAATGTTTGTGTTTGGATGAGTGCTGTGAGTTAGAGGGAAGGTTTTGCAGGTCTGTACTAATTATCAAATAAGTTGTTGAATTAATCTGTATGATTAAACAGATTTTATTGAATGCCTGTCATGTGATGTCATTATGCCTGGTGTTAGGATTACAAAAGTGAAACAAGGGAAGACCAAATGTCAGCATGGCTGGAACTTGGTTGTCCCTCTCCAGATGCTAGGGCACTGTGGGTGGCTGACACTGGCTATCATGTTCTTGAATTTAAGGTCATGTTTTTGTTGTTTGTTGTGATTTTTTTCTTTTATGTTTATTTTCTTTTTGCATCTCTTCACATTGTGCTTGAGAATAATTTGAAT